TTCAAACCGTTGCAACCGTAGCATGTGCTACGGTCAGATTTTCACCGAGATATATTTTCCCAGGGTGTACCTTTTTTAAAGTTATTAAAAACTAAAACGTTATACTATTTTTAATTGCCGATATTTTCATTTTTTCATTCAAACTTGGTGCAATTTTTTTCAAATTTACTAAATTATATTGATACAATTTTATCGAGCTTTTATTTCATTTTGGATAATTAAATTCGGATGTTTCTCAAATTTCCGCCCGAAATACTGCCTGTATTTGCGGGTTTTGCACTAGTACTATATCACATCGTTCTAAAGTCGTAGCATTTGCTTCATTCTGATTGGCTTGCTTCGTCTAACCGTAGCAAACGAATCATAGCGCTGTATTTGGAAATTTTTGCAGTGGTCAGATTGAAACTGACCGTTGCAAAAATTCGCAAATACGGCGTGCTGATTGGTTTGCTACGGTCAGACGAAGCAAGCCAATCAGAATGAGGCAAAATGCTACTGTTTGCAATAGTCGCGTCGACTTCAGAGCGATGCTGGCTTGTTATTGTCGTGTCGGCTCCTGGTTGTAATCGAATAGTCGGTAAATTTTAATCGCCGCTCGTTGCAAGGAGAAACTATGGCTTCTACAGGACTGTATACAGATCCATACCACGATCTTCTGTGTATAATGAACGGATGTAACGTGTTTCATTTAACGAAAAGGTACGCGAAAGGGTTCTGATCGAAAGCTTTTGGTGTGCGATTATTGGCATAATTTGCATTTCCCGCGATGTGAACTCCGTGTCTGGTCAGTCTCATGAATAGTATATTAAATATGAAAATAACATATCGAATTTTACACAGTTCATGCATGCGTCTCGAATATATTACCATATATTTGCTGATGAAACGTATTATTATAAAAATGCAGAACAATATCAATGGCCACTCAAACTATTTGATAGCCATTGACATGCCATGTGTGTTTATATTAATACTGAAATATGTAAGTTAATCTCCTATATGTTTTATATCTTAGACTTTGCTGATGTAATTATTAGTTGTAGACCTGTTGTAGTCTATAAAGACTAGTGAGTAGTGTAAATGAAATTTATAGAAATAGTTACACTCCGATATAATATATTGTAGTTTACATGTATACTAACAGAGTTTAGAATTACAACAGCTGAGCCTGCTTCCTGGGATAACGTATCATAAGTATATGGTTAGATGTTTCAAATCCATGTATTGTATACCTTACTTGTATTAAAATTCGCGTCGTATACTCATTTTCGTTCAGCTTTAAATTCGCGCATTCCAATTTCGCGAAACTTGTTCGCGCAGCTTTAAATTCGCGCAAGTAATTTTCCGTGTTGGTTCCTTTTGGTTATAGAACTATAACAAAAAATACTTCAATATTTGTCAAAAGAAAATTCATGATGACAGTAAAGCGTATAAAGTTCAAACATCAAAATGTATGGTTTTCATTTGCCTAATACAATAACAATAACTCATTTTTATTAGCATCCCATATATTATAGGTTTGTACATGGTATTGCCTTACATTATATTATTTACTAACAACGAGTGAATATTACACCACAAAGCTTTTCGCGCGGATTATATTTCCCGTAGTGCTAAAATTTGCGCAACCAGCTCCGCGCGAATTCCTGCGTACTGCTCGAATTTTAGTACAAAAAAATATACAAATAAACATTTTTTCTAATTGCCATTGTGCTGCTGTTTCAAGATGATCTACAAATAAACATTTTCCCTATAACTTGGAGATAATCTATATACAGTACAGAAAATGTTTTCCCTGACTGCCATAAGTTGTCCTGCTGTTTCGGGATGATCTACATTGTATATGCTGCTGCTTGGCCAGATAAATATTTTCCCTAACTGTCGTTGGGCCGCTGTTTCAAGATGATGTACATTTGAAAACTTTCGAACTATTGTCTGTTATCTTACTTTTTCAAGATAATCTGTTGTTCGAAGTGGTATGTTGATGAATAAATTTTGTAACTTTTGTGCGTTTTTTTCTTATTTTGGTATGAAAAACAGGCACTTTTCTACAAATTTTAAATGTAATTACGATGCTCAGAATGCAGGAAATGGTATTTGCGGGCTTCAAATTTCAAAAATTTTCTGGGGGGCATGCCCCCAAACCCCCCTAGGTAGGGCGTGGCCTTCGGCCCCGCATGCTGATTTCATCCAAAATGCTACGGTCACATTGAGACGCTGAATCCGCCCCTGAATGTGTAGAATTATTAAGTCTATCAAGACCCAAAACTGGCAGTTCAATTCTACCAACTTCTGTTGAAGCTAGTTATCAGGTTTTATAGCTATAGAGGCCTGTAGCATTTTCTCTAGAAATTGCATATAGTAAAATCAATTGAAATCATAAAGAAAATGAAACATTCTTGATGACATCATTGGCGACGTTATATCAGGGGGCCCCCGGTTCAAACTTTTCGAAGGCCGCCCCCTAGTAGAAGTGCCAAAGGCACAAGTCGAGCGCCGTATATGTACAAGTTTTCTAGTGAGTCAAGGGCATGCTCACCTGGAAAATTTTTTAATCTAGACTCTCTGAAATGCCATTTCCCAGACTTTGGGGAGAGATTTTACAGAATTCTGATGGTCAGAGAATGGCATTGTTGCTCTATAGGCTATAGCCTGAGCCTGGGGGCACCCATTGGGGTTGGGCGCAGGGGTGGGAAGTTTTCGGGGTTTTTTAAAAAAATAGTTTTTACAAAAGTTTTAAAAAGTTTTAAAAGGGTTTTGAAAAGCAAGAAAAGTTTAAAAAGTTAGATTTTTAAAAAAATTTTAAAAATTTAAAAAGTTAAAAAAATAAGGGTTAGGGGTTAGTGTTGGGGTTGGGGTTGGGGTTGGGGTTAGGGTTAGTGTTGGGTGCCTCGAATTTATTTTTATAATAAATTCAAAATTTGCCGCGAATTTATCATAATGATAAATTCGGACGTGTTTAAGAATTTACTCATATAGTAAATTCAAAGGTGGAGCTCATGCTGGGATATATATACTCAGATATAGTAACACCAAAAACATCATATTCACCCGAGTACATAAAACCAACACAGAAAAAAAAACATAATGTATATCTGCTTAAGCCTTCAGTGTTCGAATGAGTGGAATTTCAAGAGCATTCTGACTGGCTTTATGCAAACAGGTGGCCTTACTTGTCAGGGCAGGGTGAAGACCAGTTAAGGTTAGGGTCAGGCAAGGTTCATGTAAACTTATTGTTAAGCAAAAATGTTATGTGTACACAATCATGTGTAATATTGTGTTGGATTAATAGCAGTTAAACATTGGAATGCAGTGTCGGAAAATAACCACAACAATTATTATATAAAGTATCTGGTTGTTTTAGTGTAATATTAATTTCTCACATATTTTTTTCAGAAACAAAGCACCATTGAGCAACTTGTTGGGAAAGAGAAGTCACAAACTGTTGATGAATATTATATATATTTAATTAATTAACTACATACACATGAAATACAATTTAATTAACAGTATTTTGATTTATTGTCATAGTTATTAGCTAGATTACATTATTTTCATATTAAAAATAAAATTAACAAATTACAATATCTGTGTGAAAATATTGCAATAATCAATTAAAATATCAAACCAGCCAATTGTTTCAAACATGCAAAATTTGCGAGTGTAAGGGACAGACCATTAGAAAAGTGATGGGCGGGGGGGGTTCTAAGAGGTAATATATATATTTTTATACACCTATAGAAGTAATAATTTTTTTTTCTCACTTGATGCCTGGAAATATTTTTAAGTGCAATTTATATCTTCCAAGCTAGGAATTTTTTTTTGCACTATGCCTGGAAAGATTTTCCCCCTAATTTTTTTTCTGGAAATTTTTTTTTTTGGTTTTGCCCCTCCCCCCAATCACTTTCTAATGGTCCGTCCCTAACCTCCCCCTACCTCCCCCTGAGAGAACAAGAGAGGTGCTGTGGGCTCCTATTTTCCATTTTGATATGTGGCAATGGACCATATAATGCACCAATTTTTTTATTTTTTTTTTGGGGGGGGGTGTATATTCATATATTCCTGTTTACATACCGTAAAAACAATCGATTTCAAAAGAAATCCGTTGGGCAGAACACAAATATATGAATATGCACCCCCCCCCAATTATCGTGCTAGCCACGGCCCTGCCTGTCAAATGCCTGACAAATATACTTGTCTATGCAAAGGGAGAGCTCTGGCTCTTCATGGGTTGACTAGTATATGCTAAACCTTTGAAAGTGGCAATGTGCCCCAATGCACCCCACTTTATTATTATATTAGAACTGTCTGATGGCAGACAATTCTATTTGTGAAGGGGAGTGCTGGTGCTCAATAAGTTGATTTAAATTAAGTGGAATATTATATCAATTGCTTTGAACAAAGGTGATTCTCTTTTGTGGCAAGAAATTTAACCAGGGCATTCTTCTTAAAGTTGTCTACACATCTCTGGATTTTTCTTGGCATCTGGAAAAGTGTAATAGAATACATATCCAATCAGGAATGTACTATATTATCTACATAAGTTTGTCTACATGCTGTTGAACATTATATTATTTTTTCCTTTCAATTTTCAAATATTAAATGTTATTTCAGGCATAGAAGTTAGAGTGCATGATTACGCATCCCTTCCCACCCATTGACTTCTATTTCTATGTACTTGAAGTATTTCCATAAATTCATATTTGCCATAAATTCAAATTCATCAATTTGCTGGCCATTTCATGTATGAACTATAAACTTTACTTGTACAACTAGATATTAGGCTTTCTACTGTTAGTCATGAAAGAAGATTAAAATTGTCTATTAAAATCACAACTCAAGATTGTAGTGTGAGCCTTGCAAGCTTTTACTCAACACTTATACTCCTACAGAGACACTTATTAGGAACAGTTTTGATCTGTTTTGTGCCCATTACAACCACTATTGGCATCCTAGTCCTGTGACAATATATTAAAAATTTAAAACCCTAGGACAAGTTGGAACTTGACACCATTTGTCCATCATTTTAAGGCAATTCTGATACTATATTGTATGTTAAAATTGATGTTGGATCTTTGGCTAAGGACTCCGAGAGGAAAACAAAAATATAACCTGCCCAAATGGCAAAATAAAACACAAAGAAAAGTGATAAAGGCAGAAAAATACCAGCTGCTGTACAGCGTCGTTTATAGTTGTTAATTTCGTATCCAATTTTTCTTGAAAACACGGTATTTATTTAGTAGAAATGAAGCACAGAAACAGTTTAATATACATCTTACCTGTAAAAAAGTGTTTCTTCTTGATAAAGAATTGTGGCATCATGAAGTCATGCAAAAACTCGGCATTTTTTCTTGATGATTTTTATATATAAAACTTTCAGCAGAGTTTCAGGGTTTTTTCAAAAACCAGGGGGGTGAAATTGTCGTCAAAAACCGAGGATCGCGGTTGGCCAGTGGTAATTACCACGAGGATGTAGGACCAGTGGCGTCATTCTGGCGTCAGCAAACGTGAAAATCCGCCATGTTTTTGGCTTCACCTTTTGATGCCGAGCACTTCCTCCAGTTATATTATAGCTCAGTGGTTTTCCATGTAAAAGGTAAACAACCATGAAAAACCAAAGAAAATACCTGTCGATGTTGAGGAAATATGAGGCCATCTAGCATTTCCATCCACCTTTCCCGTCAACGATGACATAGAGATAAGGGCAGCCAATGGACTATCAGTTAAAACCGTAAGCAAATCGCAACAGGACAAAACCATTATCATGAAATAACATAATTTCTTTCGAAGTTGTACAGACCTCCAGAAAGTGAGTATGCATGACCAAGGAATTTAAACATATTCCCGAGAAAAAGAAGAATACATTCACAGCAAATATGAATATGAGGTTGATAAAATAATAAGATTCCATGCATCCTCGAGCGACTCTCAAGAATTAAACATAAAACTAAAACTGTTGTGTTTAAGTATGACAGCTGAATTTCAAGTACTCAAGTGTATAAATGACATATACAAGTAAACTATTACATCATAAAATGGTAATATGAGGAAGGCCTATTATAGCATGCTTCTGTGTTTAGGTTTTCTCCAGCAGTAATCCTGAAATATATAAGAGATGACCCTTGCTGGCAGAGGCGCCGGAATATCGATAATAGCGGGGGCAGATATTCATATATTCGTGTTCACAGACTGTAAAAACAATCGATTTCAAAACAAATTAATTGGGCAGAACACGAATATATAAATATTTGCCCCCCCCCTCCCCCCAATTGTCGATATTCCGGCGCCTGTGCTTGCTGGACCTCTAGGGAAAACAGTTTAGAACTGAAGTTTATTTTTTTAATTAACTATACGTTTATAGTCTCATGGTTAACTCTTAGCCTCATCTTATAATGTGCTTAACTCGGCAGTAAGATGAAACGTGCTGTTAGCTTGGGCCATCTGTCCTCTCAAAACAAATGTCTCGCCCTGCTTTTAAGTTGGTTTCCAAAACCACAAACACTAATAACTACTAAGGCGGGTTTTAATTATACATGTTGACAGAATGATATGTACTTTACATAACTTTAGTATAAGACCTATTTATATACTGCGGCAAAGTATAATTAAAATCCTTTTGACATTGTACGTTTTAAAATCCAAGCATTAATATGTCCACTGTCATTTTGACTTTTCAAACTTCAAAAGACCTTCTACATGAAGTATTATGCTGATCAACGGCACGTCCTCAGAACAAACTATTTCTATCTTTATTAGTGATGCGAGAGCTTCTGTAATTGTGGGGGATAGGGGCATAGACAGCCCCAAACGTGTGGGAGGGAGGGGACATGGTCTCCGGGAATATTCTTCAATTATTAGGGTTTCCGAAACGCTATTTCATGTATTTTAGACACGTTTTCCACAGATTTGGTATATTTTATATCATAGATGAAAATATTATGAGGTTACAGCCCCCCAGTTTCTCCACAGTGTTGAAAAATTACAAAATTAATCCTAAAGGAAAGTGTCGATGGGGAGGGGGGGGGGGGTCGAACCATATTATTATTATGATTTTTGGGCATCTCAGTTGACTGAAGAATAATGTTGAATGATTTTGTAGATGGAAATTTTCACTGTAAATTTTATACATTTATGATGAACTATCCAAGTGGACTCTGTAGCTCAGTTGGTTAGAGCGCTGCACTGGAATCACAGGACCACAGGTTTGATTCCTGCCAGAGGGTCTATATATATAGTTGCATTTTTCACAACTGCTCCTGGTTGGCTCTTAATAAATGTATAAAATTTACACGCGACATTTTCCTATTATTATTGTATGAATTTCGAACGTGCAATGCTAAAAGTTTATTAACTTTTATAATTTATTTTTAATTTTAGTAATTTGCTTTTTTGCTAGTCGTAGTATATAAAAAAGTGATATTTTAAAGTTGTATAAAGTGCATGATTATCTTTTGTTCTCGTTCAACATATATTATAGTTTGCAATTGCAGTTTTGCCTTTTCGAAAACAACTTGAGAACAGGTGCGATGGTGAGACATGTAAATGAAAGTTTGTTTTGAAAGTACAAGTGGCCCAAGCGAAAAAGCACGTTTCGTCGAGTCGAGTCATTGGTTACGAAATAAAAAGAAATACAAGCTCGCGTTTCGCTTTCAATTTTTACATTATCAACTATATGTCTCTATGTTATTCTAAACCGATTCACAATAAGAAAGTAATTATACAATACACTACTTCCTAAATAAATGTTTCGACCAAAGCCAATGCTCCATGATGGCGAGCAGATGGTCGATATATATATACATGTTCGACTGTTGATTTAATTTCGTAATTTTAGCCTACGTCACCTGTCACCAACTTACATGATATGGCACGTACGAGAAGCCGTTGTGAGGAGAAATGAACGTTTTAAAATCATTTCATACACATGTACATTTTTGTCAAAAGTGAGAAATTTTCTGGATTTTAGATTCTCTCTAAAATGTACTTATTTATTTTGTAAATTTCAAGAGTTTGAAACACTCGAATATATTTTCCAACGTCATTTGATAATATCTCATTGCGAATAAAAATTACCAAATAGGAACGACTTGAAATTACCGGTCGATAACAAAATATTCTCAGAATTTTCAAACATTTGCCCAAATGGAGGTCGCTGTATGTGAGAGAAACATTATATAGGCATTGCAAGTCCTCTGCAAACTTCAGGTTTCCTAAAATGTTTTATCCACAACATTTCGTTGTCTAATCGCGAGTTAAATCATCTTTAAATTTAATTGCCAAGACTATAGATTATTCTTATTTTGATTATTCTTTTGACAGCTACTGTATTCATTGACTATTCTTCTAAAGAATAATTTGAACACTCAGACATGCATACGTGTTTGCAATTATCATGGAATTGGCGGCAAAATTGGCCATTTTAAGTTTGGTCGTGTACGTTAGTTTAGTTTCGCAATGATAGAAAAAATATCTCATTCGATAGTTAAAGGCCTATATAATCTTTATTATAGGATGAGAAAATTAAATTTGTACAGCATACCCAATACTTAACGCACAGTAACATGGCACAATTTTTATACATCCCGTTGTATGTAATGAATTAATTTAAAGAAATGAAAGAATTTTTCTACGTTTTATTCAACTATGTTTTCGTCATCTTTAGGAATGGATGAAATTACAAACATAACATTGCCTTTTATACCCTATAGTTACAGATACTGTCTTTCTTCTTGTGATGATGATATGCGTATTAATATATAGAACAATGTAAGTGTATAGTTCGTTGGGTTCACATTTACTATGACCAAGATATTGTCAGTGAGTCTCCTTCGTTTTGTGAAGAAGGGTTATTAGTGCAGCTAGGATTCAACTCGTCGACATATTTTCATGCTTTTCAGAACTTTCCATCCTTCGGTACGTAACACCTTGTTTTTCCAGTAAAAGATTAAACAGTTAAATGTGCCATTCATCGAAATTATGGTTAATCCCCAGGTCAGTGCGAGGTTTGCATTATCCAAAGTATGTGTTGATTTTGACGAGTGTATTGTTAATCCAATGTTGACGAGCAATGGAATGGAGAACACCATAACACAAGCGACTACCAGCAAACAACTCGATATATTTTTCAAAGAAAACGTCTTTTTCATATCGGGCGATATTCTTTTGTTTTTACGACATTTCCTGACGACTAGAAACAGTTTGCAGTTGATAAATAACATTGCAGGAATGAGAAGAATACAAATAATTAGAACATGTACTTGGAAGGAAATAACAAAGTCGTTTACAGATATCACATTCAAAATTACTTTGACGACGTTCAGTATTGCAAGAAGAGTTAAAAGTCTTCCCTTCGTTACCGATGTTCGATGAAAGATAGGATAAGATATCGCCAAATATCGTTCGAAATTCATCACCAAAAGAGCGAATAATGAAAAACCAAGGAAAATACTTGTCAATCTTAAGGAAATATGAGCCCATCTAGCATTTCCATCCACCTTTCCCGTCAGGCATGACATCGTGATAAGGGCCATCAATGGACTATTAGTTAAAACCGCGAGCAAATCGCAACAGGACAAAACCATTATCATGAAATAACATAATTTTTTTCGAAGCTGGACAGATCTCCAGAAACTGAGTATGACCAAGGAATTTAAACATATTCCTGAGAAAAAGAAGAATAAGTTGACAGCAAATATGAATATCAGGTTGATAGAATAATAAGATTCCATCCTCGAGCGACTTCTGGAGAATTGAATATAAAAATAAAGCCGTTGCGTTTAAGAATGACATCTAAATTAAAATTACTAAAGTGTGTATAAATGACGTATATTAGTAGTATATGTACATTTCATTATCGTAATGTATAATATGAAGAAGAGATAATATGCCTCTGTACGTGCTTAGATGTGTTTGAAAATATTTGATAACTACATGCAAGCTCATGGAAGTTTGTATATAAGAAATACCGCATGAACGGCAGTGTTACAAAAGATGATAAGAATGCGAGCCGCATGCAGGGGAGTGCTTGTCATATACAACACGGAGGCCGTTTAAAACTGATAGAGCTATCCATGCAATATAAATCAAGTTAGTTTAGGTTTCCTCCTGTAGTAACACTGAATCAATATAACAGATGACCTTTGCTAGACCACTAAGGAAAACCGTTTAGATCTGAAGTTTACTTTTTTAAACAAGTACAGGGTTAGCCTGGTTTTTAGCCTCATCTTATAATGTGTTTAACTCGGCAGTAGGATGAAACGTGCTGTTAGCTTGGGCCATCTGTCCTTTCCGAAAACAAATGTCTCGCCCTGCTCTCGTTGTTTTCCAAAACCGCAAACAGTAATAACTTATAACGCGGGTTTTAATTATACATGTTGACAGAATGATATATACTTTGCATAACTTTAGTATAAAACCTTTTTATATACTACGCCAAACTATAATTATTTAAAATCCTTTTGACATTGTACGTTTTAAAATGCAAGCATTAATATGTCCACTGTCATTTTGGCTTTTCAAACTTCAAAGACCATCCACATGAAGTATTATGCCTGTAATGTTACGTCCACAGAACAAACTATTTATATCTTTATTAGTGATGGTGGAGCTTCTGTAATTGTGGGGGACAAGGGCACAGGCAACCCCAAACTTGTGGGAAACGCTATTTCATGCATTTTAGACACGTTTTCCACAGATTTGGTATATTTTATATCATAGATGAAAATATTTCTCTTAAATGTTGAAAGAATTACAAAATTGATCCTGAAGAAAAGTGTGTGTGTGTGGGGGAGGCGAGGCGGGTCAGTCGATCTAATGTTGAAGGATTTTGTAGATGGAAATTTCCAGTGTAAAACTGAAGTTTATTTCTCTAAATAAGTATACGTTTATAGCCTCATGGTTCTTAGCCTTATCTTATTTGTTTAACTCGGCGGTAAAATGAAACGTGCTGTTACCTTGGGCATCTGTCCCCCCAAAACAAATGTCTCGCCTTGCTCTCATGTTGTTTTCTAAAACTGCAAACAGTAATAACTACTAAAGCGGGTTTTTATTATACATGTTGACAGAATGATATGTACTTTACATATCTTTAGTATATAAGACGTATTTATATAATAGCTCATATCTGTAGTAATTGACATCCCAGTACATTACTTCAGGCTTAGGAAAACATATTTTAAGACTAAGGACGAATTTTATAA